GGCCTGCCTTGCTGTCTACTCATACGGATGCCACGTCACAGGAATCGAACGACGGAAAATGAAGCAGCGAGGGGTGTGGACGGATCTTAAGGCGTCTTTTCGGCCATGTTCAGGTGCATGCAACTTAGTCTAGGAAATGTATTCAAGTGCATGACATGTTATTCGGCAGGTGTGTACACTTTACGCAGCTTAGAAATTTGTTATCGTAAAATTATGCGCTTCCCAAGATTCGTTCGAATTAGCACAAACAGTCGAGAATAGATGCGATTCCGGATTACGCAAAGCGAAATCGGGAATGGTTGGCTCTCGATGCTACATTTTCTGACGTCACCAGAAGCAATCATTGCCTGTTTGCCCAATTTCGACGCGAATTTCTGCTTTGCCCCAACTATTCTTGAACAATTTTAAATGCTAGATCAGCTGTACTATTGACACAGGTGACGAGCGCTGCGCATGGCAAATCAACATTTTTTTCTTCGGCGTGCAGAAATTTGGAAAGGGTAATCCCAATTATGAGAAGTCTGCCCGACTGTTTGTAAAGTTTGCCCCTACAAAAAATAATGTTCATACGGTACATGTATATTCTAATTGTTGGGATACCTTAGCTTTCATTACTTAATATTTATCATACTTGTAGCGTATTTATTTATAGCGGTAAAGGGAACTCTATTAGAACTCGGGCAGACTTTTCACGTTTCGGATCATCCTTTCTTCATTTCTACACGCCCAAGAAACATTTTTTGATTTGCCCTGCGCAGCGTCCGTAACCCGCGTCAACAATACAACTGATCTAGCATTTAAGTTCGTTCAAGAAGATTTGGGGCAAAGCAGAAATTCGCGTCGAAATTGGGCAAACATGCAATGATTGCTTCTGGTGACGTCAGAAAATGTAGCGTCGAGAGCCAACCATTCCCGATTTCGCTTTGCGTAATCCGAAATCGCATCTATTCTCGACTGTTTGTGCTAATTCGAAACGAATCTTGGGAAGCGCATAATTTTACGATAACAAATTTCTAAGCTGCGTAAAGTGTACACACCTGCCGAATAACATGGCATGCACGTGAATACATTTCCTAGACTAAGTTGCATGCACCTGAAAATGGCCGGCGTCTTTTGCTGGGGCTTAGGTTCGGGAACTTGATGGCGTCGCGTCAGGCGAAATAAGCGGGGTGGGTGGGAGGTTCGGGGAGATTCTGTCGGTGTCGGTGCGTTTCAGGTGCTTGAGTCTCTCGAGGCGCCTCACTAGTTTCCCGCCATCATTTTTGTTCTCTATTTCTTCCCTAGCCGTTTAGACGACGCTTTGTTACAACAAACCGTATGGATACGATATTTTCGGTAAGAAAACTTTGCACAACGCTACGGCGACGGGTCTGTAGGCTTCGTTTTGAGGCATGGTGGTGAGCCATAAGGGTTTGGGTGGGCTGTGCTGTGCTTACTGGAGGTGGATTTGGATCAGATTCAGCATGCATTGGGATTGCCTGCTGTGTGCTCCGCAGAATCGATTTTTTCCATTCTTGGACGGGTTGTACGTAGTATCGAGTCATTGTTTATAGGGTTACGAGGGTTCTGGGTGCGTGCCCTTGAAGAAATCGGAGCAGGGTTCTAGACGGGCTTTGCCCTGGGAACCGATTTCTGTTTTAAATGAAAGAAAAACGGAAAACGCAGCCTCAAGAACACCCCAGTAGAACAGCACATAAGGAACCCCAAAAGACACCCCAACGAGATACCCCCAACGAGACACCCCAACGAGACACCCCAACGAGACACCCCAACAATACGCCCCATCTAACCAAACCCCCCACCCCCCTCACCTAAACCCACCCTCTAAACCCGCATGTCCACCAAATAGGGCGCATCCGCCCACGGAGCATCCCATCCCATCTCCTCCTCAAAATCCTCCCGCTCCACCGAAACAGCCTCTGGGCCTCTCATCATCGACGCCGCGCGCAACAAGATCACACGCGCCTGAGCCCGCTGCAAAGCCACACCTATGGCCGCTTTAAGTGATCCAAGCAAGTAAGCCGAGAAACCTTTCCCCGTAGCTCTCGCCGCCCCTTTCGTCTTCGCTACCTCAATCTGCGCGTCGCCCTGTTTCTTAAGCCACCGCCCAAAACTCCCCCCCAGGCAACCCCATGTCTCAGCAATGAGAGGTGTAAACTGCACTCCCCTATGTCGCTGCAGAAGCAAGTTGTAGTCCGCCGCCTTCCGCTTTTCCCTCTCTCTAGCGGCAAAACCCACCTTGCGACCAATCTGTCCATGGTGCTGCGCGGACAACGAGATAGGGTCCACCACACTAACCTCCAGCGCATGCTCCTCCCCCTCCCTCAGTCTCCGCACCGCCACATCCACCCTCTTCCCTGGCAGCAACGTGTCGTCTTCCATGGTCACGACCCCACCCGCCCCTTTAGCTATCTTCGCCACCACAAACTTAACCGCGTCGTGAACACGAGAAGGTGCGTACTGGTACTTGCAGCGAAGGGCATGATGCGGGTCAGAGGGATCAGCAAACTCAAACCCACACGCGCACTTGCCGGCGACTATCAGCTGCTGTATGGGGAGGCCTAGGCGCATGGACGCACAGATGCTCCACTCGGCTGCGGTGAAGGTAGCCTCTTCGTGCGAAGGGACGGCGGAGACCCACGCCCCTGCCCCCGGGCCCTGAAGGGATGTCAAACGGGCCATGGTGGCGTCGTCGTGGGCCATACCCCGAAGAGTCTGCAGACTCTCAACCGCTAGGCGACGGTGTTGTGTGGGGAAAAGCAGCACAGGGGGGTCAGCGGTGCATAAGGCTAGGGGTGGCATCTCCTGCCTGACCGACTGTGGCAGCAGCTCCACTGCTCTCGCAAACCAAGGATCCAGCAAGGTCGTAGCCTCGGGCGTGCGGAAAAACTCCTCAAACATCCGTTCCTCCCCTGCCACCCCCATCCGAGCCACATCGCTCACTGCCTGGCACCAACCACATGCGTACGACAGAGGGCTAAGGTCAGCTGCAGATCGAATGCCAAACCCTCCAAGTCTGGCTGGAAGGTGCAGCTGTAGACGGGCCATCTGCGACCTTGCCGAATCGATGGGGAAAGTGGGAGTCCCTCTGTCAGCAAATCTTGTGTTTGCCCCTCTATAAGCAATCGTCTTCTCGTTTGGGTGGAAATTCATTTCGAAATGCAATATTGATTGGAATTTCAGTGCTCGGCTGGATACAAGGATTTTGGAATTTAGAATGTGCAGGAAGGTAGGTCTGTGCGGTACGAAGCGGTCCCAAGAGTACTGTTCGCGGTGCAGCGTGTTCCGACGGCAGTGAGGCGCAATAGCAATCCCCACATTCCTGAGGCGGGATTTCGTGTAGCTCTGGGCGGCCAGCCATGATTCCCAGGCGAATCACAAGCAGGCGCGACTCGCGAGAGCACAAGCGATAACAAGCACGCAGGCGATTACGAGCGCGAAGGCGATTACAAGCGCGTAAGTGAATACGATCGCAGAAGCGGTTACGAGCGCAGAAAACGTCTACGACGCAGAAGCGGTTACGAGCCCAGGAGCGATTACGAGCCCAGGAGCGATTACGAGCCCAGGAGCGATTACGAGCCTTGGTCACGACTACGAATTGAACCAATCGTACAAGCGATCTCAATACAACCGTTCCAGGGTTTCACTTTCAAAATGCGACTTTCACGCTTCAGTCCCGCCGTTTCATGCTGGCGGGACAACGCGAACTCTGAAGCAGCCGTCACCATTGGCCGTCTCCCAACCGGCACGTGGCCGTCATGTCCACCGTGCTCGTGTCCGAGCCTGAGACCCTCGCCCAATCAGATCGCCCCAACCGACTCCCTGCGCGCGACGAGGTGAGCGAGCGAAGACGGGAGTGCAGGAATCAGGACGGGCGGACGGAACGGAAGTTGCGGAAAGGGCGGAAGGAGGGAAAAGTGGAAAGAGAGAAGAAGGCCGCAAAGGTCGCAAAAGGGGAGGAAAGGGCGGAGAGGAAGGAGCAGAGAAGGCCTTGGATGCGGCGGAAAACTCGGAGGGGATGGAGGGAGGGACGCCAGCAGGTGCGGATTGGCCGTTGCTTCAGTTCCCACAGCCCTCTCCCTCCTGGCGTGCTTTCATGCTGACGCGGTCGCTGACGTGGCGGCTGACGTGGCACGTGAGGCCAGGGTGTGGCAGCGCAAGGCGGTGGTGGGAGTGGGTAGCGCGGAGCCGATGCCACATGGAACATTCTGGGAACTTTCACAAGGACGTAATGTGGTGAGGCGGTTTTGGAAGAGGGGGAAAGGAGGTGGGGAGAGAGAGTGTGAAGCAATGTGCGAAGTGCTTTCGTTGCATAGGGGGGCATTTGCAGTGATGGGAGCAAGAGATCCGTAAGCCAACAAGAAGCGCTCATGGATTGCAACTTTCCTATGGTTGTGATTTGCGTTGGTGTTTTGAGGTCTGCTGACATCATGCCTAGAACATCTACTCCGTTTGACATCAACATGGTATGATCTCAGGCCCTCTCCTGCATGCTCACACGCTCATGCATGCTCACACGCTCATGCATGCTCACACGCTCATGCATGCTCACACGCTCATGCATGCTCACACGCTCATGCATGCTCACACGCTCATGCATGCTCACCACGCTCATGCATGCTCACACGCTCATGCATGCTCACACGCTCATGCATGCTCACACGCTCATGCATGCTCACACGCTCATGCATGCTCACACGCTCATGCATGCTCACACGCTCATGCATGCTCACACGCTCATGCATGCTCACACGCTCATGCATGCTCACACGCTCATGCATGCTCACACGCTCATGCATGCTCAACACGCTCATGCATGCTCACACGCTCATGCATGCTCACACGCTCATGCATGCTCACACGCTCATGCATGCTCACACGCTCATGCATGACTCACACGCTCATGCATGCTCACACGCTCATGCATGCTCACACGCTCATGCATGCTCACACGCTCATGCATGCTCACACGCTCATGGCATTGCTCACACGCTTCATGCATGCTCACACGCTCATGCATGCTCACACGCTCATGCATGCTCACACGCTCATGCATGCTCACACGCTCATGCATGCTCACACGCTCATGCATGCTCACACGCTCATGCATGCTCACACGCTCATGCATGCTCACACGCTCATGCATGCTCACACGCTCATGCATGCTCACACGCTCATGCATGCTCACACGCTCAATGCATGCTCACACGCTCATGCATGCTCACACGACTCATGCATGCTCACACGCTCAGCATGCTCACACGCTCATGCATGCTCACACGCTCATGCATGCTCACACGCTCATGCATGCTCACACGCTCATGCATGCTCACACGCTCATGCATGCTCACACGCTCATGCATGCTCACACGCTCATGCATGCTCACACGCTCATGCATGCTCACACGCTCATGCATGCTCACACGCTCATGCATGCTCACACGCTCATGCATGCTCACACGCTCATGCATGCTCACACGCTCATGCATGCTCACACGCTCATGCATGCTCACACGCTCATGCATGCTCACACGCTCATGCATGCTCACACGCTCATGCATGCTCACCGCTCATGCATGCTCACACGCTCATGCATGCTCACACGCTCATGCATGCTCACACGCTCATGCATGCTCACACGCTCATGCATGCTCACACGCTCATGCATGCTCACACGCTCATGCATGCTCACACGCTCATGCATGCTCACACGCTCATGCATGCTCACACGCTCATGCATGCTCACACGCTCATGCATGCTCACACGCTCATGCATGCTCACACGCTCATGCATGCTCACACGCTCATGCATGCTCACACGCTCATGCATGCTCACACGCTCATGCATGCTCACACGCTCATGCATGCTCACACGCTCATGCATGCTCACACGCTCATGCATGCTCACACGCTCATGCATGCTCACACCGCTCATGCATGCTCACACGCTCATGCATGCTCACACGCTCATGCATGCTCACACGCTCATGCATGCTCACACGCTCATGCATGGCTCACACGCTCATGCATGCTCACACGCTCATGCATGCTCACACGCTCATGCATGCTCACACGCTCATGCATGCTCACACGCTCATGCATGCTCACACGCTCATGCATGCTCACACGCTCATGCATGCTCACACGCTCATGCATGCTCACACGCTCATGCATGCTCACACGCTCATGCATGCTCACACGCTCATGCATGGCTCACACGCTCATGCATGCTCACACGCTCATGCATGCTCACACGCTCATGCATGCTCACACGCTCATGCATGCTCACACGCTCATGCATGCTCACACGCTCATGCATGCTCACACGCTCATGCATGCTCACACGCTCATGCATGCTCACACGCTCATGCATGCTCACACGCTCATGCATGCTCACACGCTCATGCATGCTCACACGCTCATGCATGCTCACACGCCTCATGCATGCTCACACGCTCATGCATGCTCACACGCTCATGCATGCTCACACGCTCATGCATGCTCACACGCTCATGCATGCTCACACGCTCATGCATGCTCACACGCTCATGCATGCTCACACGCTCATGCATGCTCACACGCTCATGCATGCTCACACGCTCATGCATGCTCACACGCTCATGCATGCTCACACGGCTCATGCATGCTCACCACGCTCATGCATGCCTCACACGCTCATGCATGCTCACACGCTCATGCATGCTCACACGCTCATGCATGCTCACACGCTCATGCATGCTCACAGCTCATGCATGCTCACACAGCAGCTCACGTCATGCATGCTCACACGCTCATGCATGCTCACACGCTCATGCATGCTCACACGCTCATGCATGCTCACACGGCTCATGCATGCTCACACGCTCATGCATGCTCACACGCTCATGCATGCTCACACGCTCATGCATGCTCACACGCTCATGCATGCTCACACGCTCATGCATGCTCACACGCTCATGCATGCTCACACGCTCATGCATGCTCACACGCTCATGCATGCTCACACGCTCATGCATGCTCACACGCTCATGCATGCTCACACGCTCATGCATGCTCACACGCTCATGCATGCTCACACGCTCATGCATGCTCACACGCTCATGCATGCTCACACGCTCATGCATGCTCACACGCTCATGCATGCTCACACGCTCATGCATGCTCACACGCTCATGCATGCTCACACGCTCATGCATGCTCACACGCTCATGCATGCTCACACGCTCATGCATGCTCACACGCTCATGCATGCTCACACGCTCATGCATGCTCACACGCTCATGCATGCTCACACGCTCATGCATGCTCACACGCTCATGCATGCTCACACGCTCATGCATGCTCACACGCTCATGCATGCTCACACGCTCATGCATGCTCACACGCTCATGCATGCTCACACGCTCATGCATGCTCACACGCTCATGCATGCTCACACGCTCATGCATGCTCACACGCTCATGCATGCTCACACGCTCATGCATGCTCACACGCTCATGCATGCTCACACGCTCATGCATGCTCACACGCTCATGCATGCTCACACGCTCATGCATGCTCACACGCTCATGCATGCTCACACGCTCATGCATGCTCACACGCTCATGCATGCTCACACGCTCATGCATGCTCACACGCTCATGCATGCTCACACGCTCATGCATGCTCACACGCTCATGCATGCTCACACGCTCATGCATGCTCACACGCTCATGCATGCTCACACGCTCATGCATGCTCACACGCTCATGCATGCTCACACGCTCATGCATGCTCACACGCTCATGCATGCTCACACGCTCATGCATGCTCACACGCTCATGCATGCTCACACGCTCATGCATGCTCACACGCTCATGCATGCTCACACGCTCATGCATGCTCACACGCTCATGCATGCTCACACGCTCATGCATGCTCACACGCTCATGCATGCTCACACGCTCATGCATGCTCACACGCTCATGCATGCTCACACGCTCATGCATGCTCACACGCTCATGCATGCTCACACGCTCATGCATGCTCACACGCTCATGCATGCTCACACGCTCATGCATGCTCACACGCTCATGCATGCTCACACGCTCATGCATGCTCACACGCTCATGCATGCTCACACGCTCATGCATGCTCACACGCTCATGCATGCTCACACGCTCATGCATGCTCACACGCTCATGCATGCTCACACGCTCATGCATGCTCACACGCTCATGCATGCTCACACGCTCATGCATGCTCACACGCTCATGCATGCTCACACGCTCATGCATGCTCACACGCTCATGCATGCTCACACGCTCATGCATGCTCACACGCTCATGCATGCTCACACGCTCATGCATGCTCACACGCTCATGCATGCTCACACGCTCATGCATGCTCACACGCTCATGCATGCTCACACGCTCATGCATGCTCACACGCTCATGCATGCTCACACGCTCATGCATGCTCACACGCTCATGCATGCTCACACGCTCATGCATGCTCACACGCTCATGCATGCTCACACGCTCATGCATGCTCACACGCTCATGCATGCTCACACGCTCATGCATGCTCACACGCTCATGCATGCTCACACGCTCATGCATGCTCACACGCTCATGCATGCTCACACGCTCATGCATGCTCACACGCTCATGCATGCTCACACGCTCATGCATGCTCACACGCTCATGCATGCTCACACGCTCATGCATGCTCACACGCTCATGCATGCTCACACGCTCATGCATGCTCACACGCTCATGCATGCTCACACGCTCATGCATGCTCACACGCTCATGCATGCTCACACGCTCATGCATGCTCACACGCTCATGCATGCTCACACGCTCATGCATGCTCACACGCTCATGCATCGCTCACACGCTCATGCATGCTCACACGCTTCATGGCATGCTCACACGCTCATGCATGCCTCACACGCTCATGCATGCTCACACGCTCATGCATGCTCACACGCTCATGCATGCTCCACACGCTCATGCATGCTCACACGCTCATGCATGCTCACACGCTCATGCATTGCTCACACGCTCATGCATGCTCACACGCTCATGCATGCTCACACGCTCATGCAGTGCTCACACGCTCCTGCATGCTCACACGCTCATGCATGTCAATGCATTGCTACACGCTCATGCATGCTCACACGCTCATGCCATGCTCACACGCTCATGCCTGCTCACCACGCTTCATGCATGCTCACACGCTCATGCATGCTCACCACGTCATGGCATGCTCACACGCTCATGCTGCTCACACGCTCATGCATGCTAATGCATGCCACACGCTCATGCATGCTCCACCCGCTCATTGCATGCTCACACAGCCTCATGCATGCTCACACGCTCATTGCCATGCTCCACACGCTCATGCATGCTCACACGCTCATGCATGCTTCACACGCTCATGGCATGCTCACACGCTCATGCATGCCACACGCTCATGCATGCTCACACGCTATGCATGCTCACCCGTGCTCACACGCTCATGCATGCTCACACGCTCATGCATGCTCACACGCTCATGCATGCTCACACGCTCATGCATGCTCACACGCTCATGCATGCTCACACGCTCATGCATGCTCACACGCTCATGCATGCTCACACGCTCATGCATGCTCACACGCTCATGCATGCTCACACGCTCATGCATGCTCACACGCTCATGCATGCTCACACGCTCATGCATGCTCACACGCTCATGCATGCTCACACGCTCATGCATGCTCACACGCTCATGCATGCTCACACGCTCATGCATGCTCACACGCTCATGCATGCTCACACGCTCATGCATGCTCACACGCTCATGCATGCTCACACGCTCATGCATGCTCACACGCTCATGCATGCTCACACGCTCATGCATGCTCACACGCTCATGCATGCTCACACGCTCATGCATGCTCACACGCTCATGCATGCTCACACGCTCATGCATGCTCACACGCTCATGCATGCTCACACGCTCATGCATGCAATCCAAACGCTTGCAGTGCACAAAAATACATGCATGTTACATTCACATGGCATCCCCTCCCATTTTCCGCACTTCGTCATCATTTGTCTCCTTCCTCTCCCCCACAGTCAGAAGTGCTGCACTTGCTGTGAATATATGGGAGGGAAAGACCATCTATGACTTCACATGCGTCCCTGCTATGTCAGCAGATAGAATGCCATGTCAGCAGATGGAATGCCATGTCAGCAGATGGAATGCCATGTCAGCAAATGGAGTGCCATGTCAGCAGGCGGAATGCCATGTGAGCAGCCATGTGTGTACAGGACGAATGTTTATGCACTGAAGCATGCCATGTGTGTGTGCGCACTGAATCATGCCATGTGTGTGTGCACTGCAGAGGACTCGCCGCACTCTTGCACCCCATCCTTGGAAGGGATTTCTGTCGATTCTCTTTGTTTCTAAAGGAAGCTACACTATGATTCTATATTCTTACTCAGACTCTTTGATTACAGTCGTTAATCCATCAAAAGTCTTTATCATAATTCTTGCTTTGAAACCTTCAGTGATCCTTGATATCATTCCCTTTTTATGCCCTTACACATACCATATTACACAATCACACGCTCTCTCACACACCATCCCGTGCACTCAGACACACCATATCATGCAATCACACACAAAAACCCATGCTCTCACATACACCATCCCGTGCACTCACACACACCATATCATGTAATGCTATCACACACAACATCCCATTCTCTCACACACACCATCCCGAGCACTCACACACACCATATCATGTTGAATTATATATTTTTATTGTTAGGCTATAGTGGGGTTCGCCATAGGGGTTACAGTTTTCTAGGGTTTACCATATGTACTCCCCTCTTGCTACTCAACACCATACCGCTGTTTCTAGTTCTTAACATGGAATCATCGAGTAGGTTAGGTCCGTGCCCACTACCCGTTCCTACTGCCCGTCACTACTGCTGTCGCTGTACTGCCCCACGCTACCACGCTGCTCTTCCCTGCGTGCTCGCTCTGCCCTGCCGCGTGCGCTTCGCTGCCCCACGCGCTGCTGCCCCGCGCTCGCCGCTTCCCCCCGCGCGCAGCTGCCCTGCGCACGCGCTGCCTTGCACGCCACCGCCTTGCGCGCCGCTGCCCAGCGCGCGTCGCTGCCCTGCACGCGTCACTGCACCGCGCACGCCGCTGCCCTGCGAGCCGCTGCCCCGCGCGCGCTGCTGCCCCGCGCGCCACTGCCCTGCGCGCCACTGCCCCGCGCGCCGCTGCCCCGTGCGCCACTGCTGCCCGTGCGCCGCCCTTCCGCCGCCGCCCGTGCGCTTCCCCGTGCGCCGCTGCTGCCCGTGCGCTGCTGCTGCCCGTGCGCCGCCCTGCACTGCAGCCCGCTGGCCGCCCACTGCCGCGTCAACTGCAGCCGCGCTCCGGCTGCGCCGCATCGCCTTGCCGCGCCGAGCCGGCCTGCCAAGCCGCGCCGCGCCGCGCCGCCCTACCGTCGTTGTGCCACCCCCTGCTCACCTACTGCCGGGCTGACTCCCGAGCCGCTGTCCGTGCCTAGATCTGCAACTCGATCCTAGTGCTGCTCCCTGACGTAGTTTCTGTCATGGCGACTATCACTGTCCTAGGGTTTGACGTAGAGGGGCGCCCTATCGAGTTCGAGTCATGGCTAGAGGACCTGCACCTGTACTTGCAGAGTGTCACTAGCGACGACGTCTCCCTGTTCGAAGCACATGTCGGGGTCCCTTCAGGCCCCCACGACTCCAGCTGAGCCTGCTGCTGACGTTGGGGAGGAGGTGCAACACCAGTACCGTGCTGACCGTGTTGCCTACACATGGTGGACGGCACGCGACGCCACCGCCCAGTTTGCTGTCGGCGCTCACCTGCCGCTCGACCGCAGGGCCCACTTTCGCCAGGTGACGTCGACCCAAGCTTGCTACGGCGCTTTGGTTAGGCGCTACTCCTCCCCCTCTTCTGCCACCCTAGGCCTTCTTGTGTTGCCGATTCTCTTCCTGGGCTGTCTGACTTCACCGCTGTAGCTGACCTCATGACTCACCTGCGCTCCCTTGACAACTACTACCGTGCTACTCTCAAGCCATAGTTTCAGGATGAGAACCAACGCCCCATGTATCTCACTCTCTACATCCTCACGACTCGCCTTCCTGACTCTCTTCACGCCGTTAGAGACCACTTCCTCTCCCTATACCCCACTGAGCTCACCCTTCCCTCGTTTGAGACCCACTCCTCGAGGCTGAGACCAGTGCTCACGCTGTAGCTGCCTCTCGTGGCTCTCCCAGCCTCTCCTTGTTTGAGGGGTGCTCCCCCTCCCTTCTCACGCCCTCTGTTATCTCTGCTGCTACTTTTGACTTCCTCAGTGCTGAAGAGATCGGTGCTTCGTCTGCTCGTAGCGGGAGGCACCGCAACAAGGGTGGGCGTCCGAGGAGTAGGGGCGGTGGGGGTGGTGGAGGTGGCAGTAGTGGTGGGGGTGGCGGGGGTGGTGGAGGTGGCGGTCGCGGTGGGAGTGGCGGGGGTGGTGAAGGCGGTGAGGGTACAGAGGGTGGAGGACAGGGCTTGGGTGGCAGTCGAGGTGGAGCTGACGAGGGTGGAGGCCCACGTGCGGCAACTCTGGTAGCTGCGTCTGGTGGTGTAGAGGCTGCTAGTGTAGGTGCTTTTGAGACTGCTAGCACAGGTGCTTGTGAGACTGCTAGCCCAGCAGCACGCCGCTCCTCACTCCTCCTCGTTTCCTCCAACCACTGCTCCTCTGCAGATTCTGCACATGAACGTGTGGGGCACCGCCCCCGTCTTTGGGCCGCGTCGGGAGCACTACTTTTTGCTGGTCGTCGATGACTTCACGCGCTACACGAGCATAAGGGAGACGTCTGTGTTGTGTTGATCCCTTGGATCCGCGCTGTTCGTCACCAGCAGAGCGCACGGTTTCGCTCCCAGCCAATTTGCTTTCTTCGATTTTAGTGAAGTCACACACAGCAGCCTGCGGGGTCATCAGAGGGGGAACGATGCAAACAGGTGGAGGGCAAAAGAGAGGATGGTTGGAATGTGCTGATGGGGATTCGACCCGCCAGCTTGTTGTAGGTCTGATGGAATGTGCGGATGGTTGGAATGTGCACACGATGATTCGCCCTGCCAGCTTGCTTTTGTCGATAGCAGTGATGTCACACAGAGCAGCCTGGCGTCATAAAAAGGGGAAAGGAGAGAGAGGAGGGTTGTTATGTACATACGATGATTCAACCCGCCAGCTTGCTTCTGTCAATGGCTGTGATATCACACAGAGCGGCCATGAGAGGGGGAAAGGAAAGAGGCACAGGGCAAAGAGAGATGGTTGGTATGGACATACGAGTGAGTTCGACCCACCATCTTGGTTTGGTTTCTAGTTGTGATGCGGAAAAGGATACAGGATCGTAAAGAGACATATAGTCAGGACGTGGTACGGACACCTGATAAGGACACGTGGTAAGGACACCTGATAAGGGCATGTGATAAGGACACGTGATAAGGGCACGTATTTGGGGCACGTGATATGAACCCCTGAGCGTTTACGAAATCGTGATAAAGGCTTGTGGTAGGGAGCATGAGACTCACATTAGCGGCAGAGGCGCCAAGCTTGGCAGCAGCAGCAGCAGCAGCAGCGTGCAGCAGCTTGGAAGCGAGCAGCAGCACATTATTGACCGTCTGTGCCGTGCCTCCAGAGCTGAATCCCCTTAGCTCCACCCCGTTCCCCAGAGTCAGCTTTGCCAAGTTCTGCCGTCTGATGGTGCTGTGGGGGGGTAGGGGAGGAGAGGAAGATGGAAGGGGAGAAGGGGAGGGAGGGAGCGGGATGAGGAAAGGGAGTTACTGATGGTGTGCCCCCCTGCGTGGCTGTCTGTGCCGTGCCCCCAAAGCTCACTCCTTTGAGCTCACTCCCCCAAAGCTCACTCCCCAGAATCAGCTTTGCCATGAACTGCCGGCTGATGGTGCTGTGGCTGATACACCAAGGGGGAGGGGTAGAGGAGGCGGGGAAGAAGGGGACAGAGGGATATGAGGGGGAAGGATTATGATTGGGGTGCGTTTGTATCTCCCCCTTTCCTGCGCTCCAGTTTTGAGACGTCTCAAAATTAGATCATGAGACATCTCAAGACCAGTTTCTTGACTGCCTCTGTGCGTTGCGTTTGTATCTCCCTTTCGTGCGCTCCATCCCATCCCAAGTCATGGAAGGTGTAACTTCCTTCCACCACACCATTGAACTAACTTCTGAGAACTATTGAGATGTCTCAAAAGTCGCACACCGTTGGAATCACCCTTGAGAATGATCAAAAGTGATTACAAAAGAGATCTCAACTCTTGAGAAAGGTGTATCTCACTCACTCCCATTAGCTCCCATCCCATCCCCCAAGTCATGGAAGGTGTAACTTCCTTCCACCACAACGTTTTCTTTTCTCACAAAGCGTCTTCACACCTCTTCCTTTGAACAAAAAATCTCTCGCAACTTACATTGCCCCCACTGTCACCTTCTCACCAAATGTTTTCTCTCAATTTACGTGGCTCCCTCCCACTGTTAGGTACCAAGGAGTCGCGCTGCTGAGCGTCCCCAGCACACAAGGTATTACCCTCAGCACACTTAGCACACCTTTTCACCGAGTGTTTTCTCTCAACTTACGTTGCTCCCACTGTCAGGTACCAAGGAGCAGCGTTTTGGATCGTCCCAGGCCCTGCGTTGCCTGCTGACATCGCCACAAACACACCCGCCTGCAGAAATCATGGGGGGTGAGTGAGGAGGGGTTGAGGAGAGGGCGGGTTTTTTAGGCGCCTCACAAATCGCCTCATGACTCGCGGTTTTTTAGGCGTCTCGCAAACACACCCGCCTGCAGAAATCATGGGGAGTGAGTGAGGAGGGGTTGAGGAGAGCGCGGGGGGGACGAATGGAGAGGAGGATCAGGATTCCTCTCGAGTTGCCAGCTGCCAGGGCAACAAACGCCTCCACATGGCAGCATCTTGGGGAATTGAGGGGAGTGGGGTGGGGTTGGGTGGGGTGGGTGGGGTGGGAAGGGGATGGGGGCAGGATGGGGGAGATAGTCTTGTGGATTTTTTTTTGTCGTTGCCTGCTGCCTGCTGCTAGCGCCACAAACACCCCCGCCTGCAAGCATTGCGAGGGTGGGGCGAGGTGGGGTGGGAAGGGGTAAGAAGCGGATTACGCATGGGGGAGGACACATGCGTAATCCGCAGACACCTGAGCTGCATGCTGCCAGCGCCAGAAACACCCGCAGTCTCCCGGGGAAAGAGAGGGCACATACACACCATCCGCCACAGCAACGTCAACTTCACCCCCTCTCCATGGGCCCCTTCCCCCCCCCCCCCCCCCTCCCTTGGGCCCTTGGAATCATCTCAAGTCACTCCCGTACGTTGGCGGCATTCATGCAGGGAATGGCGGAGAACCACTGGGGAACATATTCTCATGGGAAAAGAGAGAGCACGTCCACGCCACACCATCCGCCACAACAGAATACCTCACCCGCCTCTCCAAAGCCTCACCTTAGCCACATTCAAGTAGGGAATCTCGATAAAATAGTCGGACACCGGATTCCTCCCCAAAGAAAGAGAGAGCACATCCACGCCGTCCGCCACAGCAGCATCAACGGCGGCTTGGATGTCAGTGAGGTAGCCATTGTACATCCACATCGCCTTGTACATGGCGATGCGCGCACGCGGAGCCATGCCGCTCGCTGCCCCGTAGCTTTGACCGCTCACCTCCATACTCACGTTGGCATTACCAGCAGCGGCTTTGTTGGGTTAAGAGGGGTGAAGAGGGATGAGACGATGGGGTCCTTGACCGCTCATCTCCACACTCACGTTGGCGTTACCTGCTGCCTCTCTGATTGGTTGGGAGGGGTGGAGAGGGGTGAAACAGGGGTAAGTGCAGTAGTGACGGGGACCCAAGAATTGCCACGCCGCTCGCGAATCCAAAGTTGCGGCCGCCCATCTCCACACTCACGTTCGCGTTCCCCGCTGCCGCGCTGTTGGGTTGGGATGGTTGAAAGGGAGATGTGAGACGGTAGAATAAAGCTCCACACTCACGTTGGCGTCGCTCGCTGCCGCACTGATGATGTTCGAGGGAGAAAGGTGCGAAGAAAGAAAGAGGGGAGGATAGGAGGAAGTGCATATAGAGCATAGAAGGACTGAGTGTACTTGCATAAACAGAGGGTATACGAGTATAGGAGGATAGAGCGTGTAATAAACACCACTGTGTAATAAGAACACTCACCCCGCACACCACGTGCCGTGCCCGCTTCCATCCCGGGCAGACGGAAAGTCGTTCGGATCCACGGAATTCCCGGACCAGAGAAACCCGCGGTTGAAAATTTTGGCACCAATGAGTTTGCCGTTGTAGAGCGAGGCTGGGAAATCCGCCGTTGCTTCACACCCGCCGAACCAGCGGTCCGGGACCGGACCATACGGGTCTGCAGTCTGGGGAAGAGAACAAGGGGAAACGAAGATGGAGAAAGGGGAGAGAGAAGGGAGAGGGGACAGGGAAGGGAAAGGGGACGGGGAAGGGAAAGAGGACGGGGAAGGGAAAGAGGACGGGGAAGGGGGGAAGGCGTGGGAGAACGGCAAGGGGATGGGGAGATAATGGGGGCTGAAGAAGTGGGCGCCGATAAGCTTGCCATTGCAGAGCCGGGCTGGGAAGTTCGCCATTGCTGCACACTTGCCGAGCCAGCGGTCCGGAACCGGGTCGTAGGGGTCCGCAGGCTAGGGAACGGTGGAATGGGGAATGATGCAAGGGGGGAAGGGGGGAAAGGGGAGTAAGAAAAGAAAACGCACGGAAAGGAGGGTGGTGTGGGTGAAGGAGAGTTGGGATGGAAGGAGGTGGTTGAAGAGGGGAGCAGGGGAAGGACAAGGAAGTAGATGCTGCAAAACTTGCAAGAATTCATTGCTATCAATTATTATACTGCTTACTGTGTTTGCAAAAGAAGGGTGTTCCGGCCAGATTCCCGAATCCACCACGCCTATAATCACGTCCTCGCCCACGCGGCTCTGCTCCCCGTTTGCAGCCCACAGGCTCGTCGGTAACTTCAAGATAGTTGGCGAGTCTACAGTGAGAGCGCGAACCTGCCTAAAAAAAACAAAATCAAGAGTTCGTATTGGAAACTACAGAGCAATATATTGAGACACGATAAAAGCGAAAGAAAATATGCTGACAGCAAAGGATAGAATATGTGGCAGCTATAAGAGCAGTGAGCTTCCCCCACAGGCTTCGCTTCTCCCTCTCGCCCGCTTTCCCCCGCTTCCCCGCTCTCTTCCCTTTCTTCCCCGCTTTCCCCCCTTAAGGATCCCGTCCTCAGCTAGTACTCCTATCTAATCGCTTCACTCATCACTCACCAGTTTCTCTTCTTCGATCCTCGCCACGGCGGGATGGTGCTTCAGCCGTTTCGCTTCCACGTCCGTCAGCGATACAGCGAACCCGTTAACGGTACATGTGTAGCTCTGGAACATCTGCGACGGCGAGCTGTCAGTCTTTCGCAAAAACTGCCGCTGCGAATCCCGCAGAAAGTTGACGAAAGATTTCACGTTCGCCCGCCGCACGTCCGCGCGCCGCTTGATTCGACCCGCAAGCCGCCGTATTGCTTTCCAAAGAGCCTCGAAACTCGATTTTGTGATTGCAGCGAAGCGAGGAGGCACAGCGGATGTGCCACTAACGGTGGCGAGTCGGGCCGCGCTGAGACCTTGAAGCGTCGCTGCTGCAAGCGTGACATTTGTAGCGCTACTGTCGCCAGCTGTAGAATCGTCGGTTGTAGCGCCATCCGAACCGCCCGAACCGCCACCTGGACCATCAACCGGAGCGCTATCTGTCAGATTTATATGACATTACTACTGTAGGCTATAGTGGGGTAGCACATATGGGGTACAGTTTTCCTAGGGTTTGCATTTGTACCCAACTTTCCCTTAGTCAATCCATTCCTCGTTTCTTCTCATGGTATCAGAGCAGGTTCCCTAGTGGGAACGATTCCTAGGGCCCACCACCACGAAATTTTTTTTTTCCTGCCCGGAGCGCGCTTCGCTCCGGCCCGAGTCGCGCTTCTTCTCACTATCATCGTCGTCCGCGTCAGTGGGGCTGCTCTCGGGGCCGTTGTCGTCCAGCTCCGGCGCGGTCGCCGCCAGCCCCGCCACGCCGCCGCGGTAGTTGAGCACCGGCGGCACCGACGCCAGGTGCACTATGTACTGCTTGCGCAGGGGCACCGCGGCTTTCGCGCGCGTAGCTGTGGAGGGGGAGGTGGGGAAGGTGGGAGTGAGGGAGGGGGAGCGGGGATGAAGCGGAGTGGAAGCGGAACGGTCGCCAGGTGCACTATGCACGCGCAGGCGCCTCGGATTGGAGCGCACAGCTGGAAGGGTTGGGTTGGAGGGGAAGGGGCGGCAGTGAGTATGCAACGTCTGTTGCGTGATTCAAACTGGCGCATAGTAGTATTACTAGGAAGTAATCATCTTCTTAGCACAACCGCCATCATGAAGTCAGTAGTGGTAATAGCCCCCCAATCCCGTACCCTGCGACGTCGGGAGTCCTCCTGGGACGATTGCCACCAAGCAGACGATGGCCAACCATCTCAACACCATCTTTGCCGACCGTTTCAGAAGAGCAAAGAATGTGTCAACCTTCCACAAGTTCACACCCGTTCTTAGTAGTACAACTCTACACTGGACCGAAACGAATGTATTGTAAGCAAAGGCAGAGAGTTAGGGACCCTCTGAACGGGACCACTCCGTCTGAGAGAAATTGAAGGTCCGAAACTCTGAGAGTAGAGCAATGAGGTCGCAGTAACTTCCCATCATACCCGAAACCTCAACAGCCATCGACTGTAGCTGCTGCTGCGACGGTGGCTCGGAAAGCGCGGATATATGATGAAGATGGGTCCGAGATGCGCTGAGTCGGCGAATACGCTACAACCTGTCAGTGTCATATCGAATGGATGAAATCGACTCTGGTGTAGCTGAAAAATGCTCTTGGGAACTCCACCACAGCTTGCACAATCCGTGGAATGCACCTGAGCGGTGGCATGATGGTGAAGAATTTCCTTGTGAACAATTGGCGTGCTGTGCGGTTCGAGCCGACATTTGGGAGAAGGGGGTTCCGCACGTGACGGAGGGGGGGAAGGAAGGGACAGCTTGGTCTCAGTTTAAGGTAAACCTGGCCTGTAGCTGCTGCGACGGCTGCGAAAGCGCAAATATGGTGAAGATGGGTCCGAATGCGCCGAGTCGGCGATAAGCTTCAACCTGTCGGTGTATTTGTATGGATGAAATCGACTCTGGTTTTTGCTGTTGGTTTCGGCTGCAAGCTGTGGAAGTCACGGGAGAGTCGAAGCAAGAGAGCGGGACGAGACTAGAAGCAAACCGTCTAACTGCTCGCCTTTTGACAATCGCTACTACATATTACTACAACTCTACAAAGAATGGGACCCGCCAGATGGCCACAAATTTGTGGCATTGGCGGGTTTCCACTGCGCGGGTGTGGGGCAACTACCTTCGAGGCATGTGCAAGGCATGCACAAGTGCGCTCACGTTTGGTCGACCAAAGTGGGTTGTTCACTACCGAACTGGCGATCCCCTCTTTGAGCTGTTTTCGCTTTTGCGCACAACACAATGTGAATGGACCACTGAACTACTTTTGGTGGATTCATATGCCCATGAAGCCAAATAGAGTCATAAAACGCTGACCAGAGCAGATTCATAAGGATTAGGGGGCGATAAAGTCTGAAGAAAGGTCTTGACTGAGCCTGCGCCCTAAGCAAGCAGGCCAGCGCTCGACATGGTTCACAAGGAGGGAGATAAGGGGGTAACTAAGACCTAGAGATGGCATTGGTTCATTACGCCTTGGCGGGGCTCAACTCAGCCTCATGGTTCAGAAAGCAGGCTAGGTCCGTGCCACATGAAGTTCACACGGATCAGGTAAGGCACTTTGTGCACCTGTACGCCCAACGGTTGAGATACCAGCGCCCAGGTGTGACAAAGGATTGCACGCAGTGGACAGCCCTGCAGATGCTGCCGATGGGGATGACTGCCAGCCCCCCCCCTTGCCGCAGGGACTGTTAGGATGCGGCATCCCGTCAGCTCGTCCAGTCCTTGGTCCGTCAGCCTCTGGACCACCGCCACCTCCACCTTCCGCTCTGCCTCTTCCACCGAATCCCTCTCGGCGGAGAGCAGCAGGAGCAGCCTCCCATGTGCAGGCTGCACTCATGTGGAGTCATACTCCACACAGGAGAAGGCCTGGTGGCCATGCATGGACACCGCTGCGCGCACATAATCCGCCCTGAGGGTGCCGACGTCGGTCTGCCGGGATGGCAGGGCAAGCGCGGTGTGGGCCTGGTACCATGGGAGGAATGCAACACGGTATAAGGAAGATGAACAATTGATGCAAAGTGCATGCAAATTTAATGGATGCCAGGCAACGTGTTTAGAGCAATGCTGAAATATAGAGGGGGCCGCCTGGTGGTTGCGCGCACCCCGTGTCAACCATAAGCGCGTGGTTGCGTACCTTGGCAGGGAACTGGCACAGGCCAGCCCCACGCATGAGCACGGAGTAAGGCCCAAGGACCCCCCCCAACGCCGTGTTGAAGAGATCAAACACCGAGTCCGCCTCCCCGTTTGCAGTGGGCCTTTCAGTGAGAGATCTGCACGACCTGGTCAGCTGCGGCGTGCCCGTGCGGGTGGCCTGGAGTGGACAGTTGCAACGGGGGGGGGGGGGGGCATAATTGCGTTGGTGGTTGCCTGGTCCGAGTTTTGACAACCAATCGTACGTCATGGGCAAGATGTGCAGGTTAGCGCTCGCTAGTGAAACATACCCTGGCCATGGCGGTGTTGTTGCGCCTCCCGCCAATCAGGCGCGTGCCAAGCTGCGCCACCATGCCAGCACGGGTGTTGTGTTGCGCAATGGCACGTGTTGGGGCGCGGTGGTTCGAGGAACGGTATGGCAGCTTGCATGTGCGGATGTGCGCGTTCTCGTACACCGCAGCCAAGAACTCCTGGGGTAGTCCCCAGCGCCGAATCGCAGCTGGCAGATGGGTCAAGAGGTGCACCTTGAGCAGGTTCCACCCCTGCCCACCTCGCGGGAACACCACTTCGCACCCCTGAATCATCATGTGCACACAAAGGGGTTATACGGGCATCGTGGTTAGCTGCTAAGTCACAGTTGCCCTTCCCCGAAACCCACCCAGTACCTTTTGGTGCGGCCCTCGAGTTCGGTGAGGGATGTGTCGGTCTGGAACGAGGCGCGGATGCAGCTCTCGTGCCATTCGAGAATGGCCACTATAGCCAGGCAGGTGACGCGTTCGCCTTCCCCCTCGATCAGGAAGGGGACGATTTGCTCGCAGTACAAAAGGAAGCACGGCAGATGCGCATGTCTGAGGTGGTGCCAACCAAGGGAGGGTTGGTGCAAAGGCACGGCTACTCCCAATCACGAGAATAGCCTCTTTATGGGTGGGTGGGGCAGCTCACCATCATGATGGTGCCATGCTCGGAAGCAGTGAAGTTTGCGCCCCTCGCCCAATACAGCCCGGTTCCAGGGACTCTGATCCCCACCAGCCTTGCATCCGGGCGCATTGTCGCCATGCGGCTGCAAAGGAGGGAGTTGGGGTTGGGTTGATGTGAGTCCAGCACTAAAATTCGAAAACAGTAGATGGAGAACAGTCGTTGTTGCCTCGGAGGCAGTCTCGGATGTACACCCAGAAGTCGATGTAGATGGCGCGCATGATGTCAACTGCCAGTGTCAGGTAGGTGTTGCCCCACACAGTGCGGCTGAAATTGAAGTCCCACAAAAAGCTCTGTTAATGACGCACATGGGGCGAAAACAGAAGGAGGTTAAAGCGTGGTGCTATTCAGCGAGTGCATTTACGAGCATTAGCAAGAGCTTACAGCATTGGGGCTCTAGTCCTAATGACGGAACCCACCGGGATGCAGAGCGTGGCGTGGCACCTGGCCTCAAGGGGGTCATCCATGAGCGACTCTGCGCAGCCTCGCGGTCCATGTCATGCAGCTGCGTCCGTCCCACGTAGCAGAGAGAACAGGGCATAGCGGAGCCAAGCTGCTGCATGCATGTAATCTTGCATGTCTCCGGGTAGTCGGCCACGTAAGAGAAGAGAAAAGGCACCACGAAACGTGGTACTCCGTTCGGGTCCATATCCGCCATACCCCCGCGCCCATAAACATCGACAAACATTGCAATGGCGGAGTTGGTTCAAAAACACCAACGTCAAAATCCAAAGGGTAAGCACATATTTCCAGCTCAATGCGCCAAGACCGTCGACTCACCTGTGTAACGCCACAATCAGGTCAGCAAGGACGATCTTCATCGCAGCCTGGAAGAGAGCCACCTTGTCGGATGGGCTCATGCGGCTGGGCGGGAACGAGAGCATCGCCAGCAGGATCTTGCCGCTCTCCGTCCAGCGGCGGTGCAGGGGTATGTTCGCGATCGAGATGTACACCGCCCACACCTTTGTGCGCTCGTTACCACTCAGGAAGGTTGCATCGCTCGAGATGATGAGCGGTACGACGATAGTGCCGGGCCCAAATGTCTCCCCCGCAGCCTTGTGTGCTTCTTCCCAGCAGATCGCAGTCTCGGGAGTCGTGTACATGCGTCCCGCGCCGGATGACTCCTCTCGTGGAAGGATCACGAACCCGTCCGCGTTTGCAGGGTTGCTTAGGAGCTTCAAGACAGCCTGCGACGCATATTCACATTCACACGGGTGTAAGTCTGGGCAAGCACAGTTGGACGGCAGAGGAACCCCATCGCAAAAAGGACAGGTGACGCTAAAAAGGATGTTGCGCAACACGCACCTCCTTCCCGCTAGTAGCCGACACCTCAAAAGCGATGGGGCAACCAGGGACTGTAACGACATATGTCTCGTACTCCTGATGTTCCATGAGCAGCGACAAGCCGTACTGCATCATGGCATGAAAGGTACGCCAGTGCCGAACCAGCACCAGATTGAGGCGCTCGTCACGCAGCAGGTTCAGCAGCCACACGGTGCTTTCGTTCGACAAGCCACGCCCATTGTTGCATCCAACAATGAACCTGAAGACCTCCATGAGCGTGTTGAAGTTGTCAGTATCGCGGAAAACAGCTTCGGGAACGTTGTCTGCGTCATCAACTGCTGCGTCTTCTTCACCAGAGGAGTCCGAATCGTCCAGATCCGCCACGGGTGCTTCATCTGCGTCCAGTTGTGAAACCGGCGCATGCAACGTACGCCCTTTAAAGATGTTAATGACTGCATAATCGCACGAATACATACGGGGACTCAAATGGGTGTTCGCGGGTGACTACTATATCAATACTAACACCCATGCGTACCTCTTCCGCGCCTGCATCCCCGTCGACAGCACGTTGATCGGCTTTGTCATCGTCGTTGTCACATCAGACGCATCCGTATCACTGTCCGCGGTCGCCCACGACCTAGTCCTCCAGCGGCGGGCGAATCGTAAGCGAAGTCGCTTGCACATGCGGCTTCGCGACTTATGCGCGAATAGCGCTGCATGAGACGCAAAGTTGCGAAGACACCATTCGCAGCTATAGAAAGCCATAAGGCGTGACATAGCAGAGTACTTTGAGACTGAATGCGTGCATCGTCCGTAAATATAGGGATGCTGCAACGCGCAATGTGGTGTGAGCCCACCAAAACAACCTGTCGCGTATCCCCCCTATGCCGCAGTTCAGCAGAGGTCTGCATCGTCGCGCGTGCTAGCAGAGGCGTTGCATGACTTGGGAAATATCTACGAGCCGTCTTTTCTAGGTATGATGGTTTAAAAAATCAAGCACAGTTAAAATTGCCTATCACATCCGTATTCTGTAGATAGCCAGAGCAGCAAAACCCCCATCCGACGTGTTTCAAAGCATTGACAGTCACCATTGGTCTAAAGAGAGTTCATTTGGATGTGTACGTGGATGTGGCCACATCACTCTCACGAACGGCAACGTTTAGTTGGCATCACACTATCTGTCACGCGTGTGTGCAATATCCCTTGTTTAAAAAATCGGGACAACCGATATTTCACCATGGTTACAGAGTTTACAGGACGAGGATGGTGGGTTGTAGGGTTTTCGGGACCGTTCGATATCAACGAGCCACCCGAATATCAACTAGTACCGTTTTGCGAGACAGTCTAGGGCTTGACGGGACATGTGGCGTAAACAGGTTGATCGCCACCCAACCATCGCGTTACCAGGGCTCCCAACCCCACTGCTGTTGCCCCTGGGTACTACGTAACCTGAACAACACGAAACCCGCCACTGCTTTGGCGTTCGTTTACGGCGACTTTAACCCGAATGCGCAATTCCAGCTGGGTGGCCTCCAAGTGCACTTTTTAGCGCCGCAACTGTCATTTTAGACATTCACTTTCTGAATTTCACAAGCCCTGATAAAATGGTTAAGTCAAGTCCAGCGCTCGAGGCTCTGCTCTCCCGGCCTTCCCAGTGGAGGTGTGCGCGCGATGGGTCCACGTCCCATCAGTCCTCCCGCTATCGTGGGCCTGAGTGGCCTAAAGAACGCAATGCAAAATCCCGTCCACCCTCTACCTCAGTGCTCGTACGGGACTTTCCCGACGTGGTTGCTGTGCTGGTGCATGCAGAGTACCTGCGCATAATCACCCACCGCGAAGTGCCGACGCCACGGAAACTTGTCAAGGCGGTCGAGCATCTCGTCGCCACCCGCCACGCGTCAGCCGCATCTCAACGGCGCCGTGATTTGGCTGCGCTTGATGAAGCGCGTGTGGGCATGCCGGGAGCTACCGTGTCGTTTTTTTACATTGCGTGCATCAACGATGTTTTGTGCGACGACAAAGACCCGGGGTCTTTGCACGACAGCGCGGAGAACTTTATTCGCGTGATAAAAAATGGTCATCTGAACATTATCTATGCTGCCAGGGACATGGATGAGTTGAGCGCGTCGCGCCCATGCGTCCATAACTTCCGAGTCTACATGATGCACTTCGCGATGAGCGAGGGTTGGGTGGTAAGAATTGCGTAGTTTGCCGCTCCGATGTGTCGTTTTTCCCGTTTGTTTTAACATGTTTTGCTTACCGCATTTGTCGTGTTCATATTGCAGATTGAGCACGGAAAGTATCAGCTCTGGGGGGCCGAGGACGCACGCAAGGTGTTTAGTAGCCACAAGATCGTCCAACCTATGCTGTTCAACCATGAGCAATACAAACACGTGGGAGGTGTAGACGAGATTGAAGCTGGAATTCTAGCCCACAGTGTCGGAATGCTCGCGTGGTGGGAGGTCGCGGCGCTGGATCGACTAATCTGGCCTCCCCACCATGGCAGCCATATGTGTGTTTATCCGTGGGAGGTTCCAGAGGGCTTTCCCGATGCGCCCCTGTATCGCTTGGTATATACCAGGCCTACGAGTGGAATCGCCCTGACGATGACCAGCCTGAGTTTAGGCTCTAATCAGGATTAAGCGCCTAAGTGTTTTTCTGCTGTTCGCCAAATGTGTTTGCTAGTTCGGTCGGGTTGAGTGCATGTGTGGGTTGCGATACTGAAGTTTGTTATGCGGTGCAAATTTTTGCTTTTCGATTAAAAAAAGTGCCGGGATGTACCCCTCGTTCAAAATGTTTGTAGCCTGGTGACAAAGCACGAGCGCAGATTAGTGTACCACGCACACGCAGCCACAACTGCTAAGATGAAATCAGCTTTAAACACCCGTCACAGGCGCGACGCACGTTCCATGTGTCAGGTGAGGACGCATCCCGCCAATAATCGCCTAGGGCTCCGTGAACAGCAGCGCAAAAAAACGTACACCCTCAGCCTATACAGCCAATCGATGTGGGCAAACGTGTGAACCCGAGTCCGTAATGGGAAAGGGGTTTCTGCCGCGTCAGCAAACATGCGCTGTGAGGGGAACAACCAATTGAAGAAGTCGAGGAACGTGTTACTCAGACATCTGACGATAAGGGTTAATATCTCACCAATGCAGTGTGGACATCTTCGTAAATACCACGCCGCAGACGCGCCACGCACGGGTCATACGCAAGGACCGCGTGATCCCGGCTGCCTTACCTACACACGTCATCGGCACACAGTCTCTGGTGTAGGGATGACGTGAAGCCAAGGCTCGACGAGCGCACACCGTCGGAGTAGTACATATTAGTTCTGCACACTTCTCGAAGGTATGTCAGTTCTACACACCTGTGGTCCAGCCCGCATCTCTAATGGAGCCCGCATCTTCCCCGTTAGCCACCTATAGGCGCCGCTCTGGGCGTAGTAACGCCGGAGTGCGCAGCGATGATGAGGATATGATTTACTATGGTTACGGAGGCCGTTCTCCACGGACGTCGGGCCACCCTGGAAGGGCACCATCGCCCCGCGACGACTCGCCGCAGAGAGACCACGAGGATTCCGAAACGGACTACACCCCATGGGCTGATCGTGTTGACGTCGAAGACGTCGCCGAAGATGACAACGAGGACGGTGAGGAGTCGCCAGCCGACGAGGAGGCTGAAGGTAAGCTACTCCACTTTCCTACAGTGGTGTCCTACGCATATTGCCTCGCATGACCTCAGCGAGCTGACGCGATGTATGAATGCTTGTATGATGTCTGGTGTGGCAGCGTCGCAGCGAAACCAGCGCTCGATATCAGATGTAGTCGTGGCCTCCTCTCACAAGACTTCAACGCCAGTTCGACCTGGTGGCCGAGGGCCGCCTCTCGCGCGTCCTGCAACGAACGGTTCGACGACGAATCGCAACCCTGCGGAAGGTCCGGTCAACGCAGCGATGGCGTCTCGTGCGGCGCAACAGGAGCGCCGAATTCTGGAGCTCAGCCAGACCATCGAGCGCCTCGAGGGCAGAAACCCAGACAAGCGCTCACCCGCGGTGGCTCGGCTGACATCGCGCCCTGTGTGTCCCAGAGGTGCGACCATTGACGCAACCACTCCCGTCAGGCAGACGACACAGGCTCGCAGCCAGCCGACGAATCGCGGTGATGTGCGCCCTGAGCGTTCACCGATGGCGGAGGCAGCGTTTGAACGGGAGCTGCGTCAAGCAAACACTGACGGCTTCGTGACTGAAGGCATGGATGAGTGGGCGGACCGTGTTGAAGTCGGCAACAAGCTCATTCCAACACTCAATGATGGCTTCAAGGTATGCATCATGTCCATGTCACACGCAAGGCGCATCTTCGTTTTGTTTGGCATGCGAAGCTCCTAACCTTGTTCCTGTGAAAGTAAGCAGTAGAAGAAGGTGCCATAGCTAGGAAAGCCCTAGCTAGGCAAGAAACAGTTTAGGCAAAGAAGGAGGAGTTGCACTAGCAAGAATGAGGATACAAATAGCAAACCCTAGAAGGGTTGTACTCGCTATAGAGCACCCCACTACAGGCTAGAGCATAATATTCTGACACACCCCCATAGCCAAAGTGGGGTGTAATCAGCAGAGCAAGCACATCAGTACAAGCTCAGGGTGGATCACAATGTCACCACACATTCTGAGCACAAGTTCAAGAAGCAATAGTTTAAAGTTCACAATTATGAGCAAAGCTAGAGGCTATCGCAGAGGGCAAGTGAGGAGGAGAGACTGTGGGGGAGAGAAGATGGGAGGCGACTGCTGACGCTGCAGACACACAGACGAGCTGCTGGCTCAGTGGCTACCGGAACAACGCTCCGGACTACTGGGGTAACTGGCCCCGCGGCTAAAAGTAGCGGCAGACGAGCAACGGACCCACGGGCGACTGGCGACTACCGGAGATTGTAGCCTCCGGACTGCTGCTGCTGCTGACGACAAGACTGCTGCCTCCACTCGACCTCCCCCAAACAGTACCACCCCTCCTGACACACACCCGCTGCTACACCGCTAGCTCCACTCCCCCTTCACCCCCCCTTAGCACCACTCCAACGGCTCCAACAAGTCCACCCCCCCTCAGCGGCAGCTGCAGCACAGGGAGACGGAGGAGGAGGAGGAGAAGGGAACGGCACACAGTAGTTTCACCCCCATACCCCTCACCCCCAAACCCTAATTCAGGAGAACGGGCTGTAGGAGGGGTGGGGCGCCAGCAGAAGCACGGGGGACAGCGGGGAGGGCAGGGGCAGCGAGGAAAGGGCCGCCCACGGGCCTGGCACAGCCTCCCGAACCGCGCGCAGGCGGCCCGAGCCGCGCGCGGGCCTGGCGCAGCCCGTACGGGCCGCGCGCGGGCCTGGCGCAGCCCGTACGGGCCGCGCGCGG